TGATATCATCTGTGATAGATTCGATGAAGCCATGATCTACCCTCGAGGTGCTCAACCTGCAATTAACTAGGAATACGCGAATTGAGGCGATTCGAACCAAGTGTCTGAAGATGGCAACTAGATAGAATGATCAGATTTCTACCACCTGTGACTCCCACGTAATACCTGTAGTTAGTAGTGCTAATAGATAAGGTTAGCACCTCTAAAACGACGCAAATTCAGCCCCCGCAAGCCTCCTTCAATATCTACGCAATAAAGCCTTACCTTGAATGATGTTGTATAGTAGAATAAATAAGCGTAGACTCAACGCTGACGTAGTTAATATTAATGATGTTCGGCTAAGTCTGCCCGCCACCTGAACCTTCGTGGACGCTGTCTCACACGACGAGCTTGCATAGGTCACGTTAACATAGTCATTTCGAAGGCGCGGTTTGAACATAGTGATCATCATTGTGCATATGGTCAATTGCTACATTATGTCGAGTCACTTAAGCTATCATTAACCTCGAGCCATGCAAAATCATCAGTGACGAGCAGGACATCCTGCAGGTTCCTTGATGCTTCCTCAGCCATCTCTTCCTCCTCTTCCTCCTCATCCAAATCTTCATGCGTATCGGCACATAGTACAGGTGATGACAGGTTATCTGTGGGCATGTTGTCAGTAAGCACATCTACAGGGATCATGTCTGGCACACTGGTGCTCTCTCCTGAACCCATGTGTGCACTGAGACCAGGGAGCAATGTCCCACTGAATCCTGGGAGTGTGGATATGTTGTGAAGCCTCTTCAAATGGTGCACATTGAATCGGCCTTGAGTGTTGTGATGAATGGTGAGTTGATGTGCAAGAGCTGGGCTGGTGAACTTAAGCTGATCCTCGCATGTTCGTAAATAGTTGTCCTCGTCTCATATATATGTGACCAGACAGCATATCTCAATATTGAGATGAGAAATCTCCTCCTGTGCTTGGCACATCTTAAAATAGAGGTCCATGGTGCTATGAGCTCCAGGTGTAGCCCAAGGGGTTTGCAAAACATCTTCATGCATGTTGCATAACAGGTCAAAGTCAGATAGGAATGCATAGTCAACCACCTCCTCCCACTTGAGTGTTTGCTGGGGAGGGGACATCGCAGTGGCAATGGTGTTATAAGTATTGAGCACAGACCTGATAGCCAATGAGCGTGTCTGTAATGCTTTCATGATGTGCTTTCATGATGTGCTTGTGCAATCTATAGCCTTGAACAACATAATCAATGCTGGCAAGTGAGGCTTTAACTGACCCTTACCTGTCCCTGCCCTGTTCATTTTGGTAAGTTCAAAAATACACACCACAACCAAACCCTCCAGATGGTCCAGTGCCCATTGGTACTTCCTATTAGCGACAAGGTTCCTTGCTTTCTGCCACTCTGCATCTTCAGGGACCCAGCATGTGATAACCTCCAGTTTACATTCTAGTACTTGTATGAGCTTCAAGTTCCTCTCATAGCCCTCAACAACATGACAATGCATACTTTCAGCCTTGTGCATGGTTCAAACATGGGTGTCATAAGATGCGATGTCATGGTGGGAATCCATTGAAAACATAGCCATTGCAACATTGAGAGCAATGCTTCATGATAGAGACTTTAGTAGCACAAGATACATATAGTTAAAAAAACTCACCTGCTCGCCTTCAAGTTGACCAACCTTTGCCAGTATTCTATTTGCAAAGTCTCTTCTTTGGGCTCTTGCATCAAACCTTTTGGATAGGCCTTTTCTTTGTCCAGCCAATGTTCAAACACTCCATCATCTGTGACTCCAAGATCTTGCATCATGTTTGGTAGCACTGCATTGCCATTTGCTAATATGTCCAGGGCTTGTTTGTAGTTGTTGTGAAGAAAATTAGCTGGGGGACGGACTGTCAGGGCTTGTGTATGTATCATAGAAAAGGTGCTTACATAGATTGGCATATACCTTGAAGTCATTGTTGTGTTCGAAGTACGAGTCAATGGCTTGTTGCCAATGGAAGATGCTGGCATAATGTAGAGACAAAGCAAGGGAATTTGATTTTGAAAATGTGTGTTTGCATGTTTCAAGGTCCTCGATTCCAAGGCCTTTGATATAGGTTGTGAGGGAATAGAGCTGGCACAAATGTCTGTGTGCATGTCTGTGGAATGCTCTGACCAAGCAAGTGTGATGTAGTGAGCACACAAGTGGACCAAGAGAACTATTATCAAGGGTAACCTTGAATTGACACCCAATATCATACCCACCACCTAAGCCATCACCAAACATGTCCAATAGCCTGGCCACAACAGCCAATGGATACTTTGCACTGTGAGGACATCAGTCAAAAATAGAAGAAGAAACAAGTACATTACTTACAGTTCTCCACTCTGCACCATGTCTGCAATGAGGAGACAAAACCCATGACAGCAGACAGCCACAAAGACACCTGTTTCATCATATATACCCCAGGCCCTCTTTGTCTTCACATCATCCATGTTTTTCCAATGGCCTTCACATAAGTTATCTGCTGGTGTACTCTGACAAATGGTTAATAATGGCTACCTAAGGTGTATTGATGACTCACCTCATCACCTGTTGCAGGTGGCAAGTCCTGTGTAAACTGGTCTATGAAAGTGCAAGAAAGGTAGTGGTCGCTGGTGTGTATCTGGCAGGTAGGGAGTTCATATGATATACCAAGAGTGTTGTCATCAGCCAGAGATCACTGAAGTACTCGTTTCAAGGAATTGTTGCCATCCATAGCATACAACATCTTGAAGGTCAATAGCTCCTCATTAGCTAGTGTATATGAGCATGCCAGACATGTGTGTTTGACACGCCAATCAGGCGAGTCCCATTGGAGTGCTTTTGCTACCTTGGTGGCTACACATCATCTGATTTTGAGGTATAAGTCGAATGCAATAGAAAATTGTTGTGATAAATGGCAGTGAAATTCAATCTGCATATTTTTAGTGAGTACATAGGATGAAAAGTGAGAAAATGTACCCCATGTAAATCAGACATCATTTTCACAAATGCTTGAACCAAAAGATGAGGGCTCCTTAGGTGTGCCAAATGATATAGTTCAAGGGCTTCAGTAGTTATACCCACCACTGGTGATATTGGAGAGCAAGGTAGAACACCTTGACAGACTAGTGCAGAAGCAACAGTATTGTCTGTTGGAGATATTTTAAGTATCACTTTCTCAGCAACTGAACATGATGCGCATTAGATAATGTGATTGTCAAACGCAGTGGGTGTCACTTACAATAAACATCTATGATAGTCATTGCCCACTCACTACCATCATCAAGCTCTTCTTTGTGAAATTGATCAAAAAAACTTCAGTGTCCCATCTTGGATTTTTCTAGACTCCAGACAAGGTACACATCAGTCATTGCAGGGATTTGTTTGGTAGAAGCTTCATTCCTGCACAGGACGTGATCCCAATGAGTGCGATTGTCAACATGTCATACCCCTCAAGTACTGTCCTGTCTATTTACGATGTTATTCATATTGAGCTACTCTGTATGAATTTTCTAACACTTACATTTTCCAGGTATCGCCCAGAATATCTCTTGTGAGGTCATTGAACTTGCCCCCTGTGTGACTGATGGGGAGCGGTTCAGTGCCATTCCAAACATTGTCAAAATCAAAGTCATCTGTGCCTTCATTGAAGCTAGGATGGAGGGCAGGGTCATCTCTAAGTGCTTCAAGAGCTCAACACTCGTCAACAGTCATTGCTGTAAAAAAGGTAGGCACTTTGGGTTCAATTGTCCCTCCTTTAAATATAAATGACTTGCCTTGTAGATGAGATTTCCCTGTGCTCCCTATAGCTGGCTGCCTGCTGGACCAATGTCCTGTGTTTGACGATCTTTGAGATGGAGTTGGTGGGAAGTCCATTCTTGTCCCTTGAAGTTCCTATGCACCAGATGGACCTCAGGGACAAGTTGCTGTGAAGTTGCCATTTTCCGGAATCTCCCATATTTTAGAGACAAGTCTGGGATGCTAGGTATGTATGTGAATAACTGTGTGTGTTGTATTGTGACTAATCATCACGCAAGCTTTCAGATAATACTCAGTTCCAACTATTATCATTGAACACTCACCTGCTTAAATCTACAATGTCATGCAGTTCCTTGTCATCCACTGTCACCCACAATGATCATGTCCAAGACCTGCAACGTTTACTTGAAGGCATCACTTTGTTGGGTATGTAAATCTCTCTCTGCCAAATCAACTACATGTTCATGATTGAGATGTTAGGCTCATCACTAGACATGATCACTTGGAAGCAGAAGACTACCAAAGAGTCCATCACCTTATCTCGATCATCACAGTCGCACTCCTCCCATAGCAGTGAACTGACGGTTATGTCTTGCTCTGATGTCCCATCAAATCTATCAGCCAGCTTGTCTATGCAAGGATCTTCAAACACTGATCAAGTACAAGCACCTCTACAATTTCCCTCCCATATCCCACTGGTTCCCAAGCCTAGCGAGATCCTACCACCACACATAGGTCTGATACCAGAAGGTTTTTGGGTGATCACAGTTGGGCAGGAAGTGGGGATATTCTATCATTGGTAGGTACAATCCATCATTTTCTTTAACTTATGTTGACCATCATTGAAGGGCTGATGTTGCTGAACACATGAATTTTGTTAGCAGCAATGTTCAAAACCGGTTTCCTTCATTCCAGAAGGCCCTCAAAGTATACATGATCAAGTATAATGAGGGTAGAGTGTGAGTGGTTCCTACTCCAGGCGGCCCTTTCTGGCCTTCCAATACATTGCCACCATCCCCAACACTATCTTCGGAGTCAGGTGATCTGTGGGCCCAAGTCGAGAACTGGGAACAGAGCACCAGCAGCTTCAATATTTAGATACATCCATAGTTCCCTTGCTAGTGTATTTACAGTGCTTGTACTACTGCCTTCATGCAATCTAAATGTTGAATGATTATCAGTGGACATAATTGTTCTGTGTATGTGAGTTTTGCAAGTAGAATAGTTGAACAGAACTAGCGCTATTATCAAAACAGTGACTTCCAACTGTATTACAGTGTGCTTCATTTGGAGATACATATAGTCCTTATGCAGTGATACTGTAATTCGATTATATAGCTACAGATCCTCATCACATAACTCACTACATGTTTTAAACCACTCAAGGACAACAAACACTAACCTTTGAGATAGTCAAGTAGAAAGAAGTCATCCTATTGTACAATACTCCATAGATTCAAACATGTTTGTTACAGTGGCTCAAAAAACTGTCCGCATGTTTTGACATTTTTCACTATCTATGATATTGTGTGAGAACAAACAAATGGCTCAAGGACATGCTTATACCACATTGTAGTATGGCTTCAGGGCTTTGGATTGAGCCCTACACCGTGGGAATCGGTGGAGATATGGTGGAGATACAAGGCTTACAAAATCATGACTCATGCGGACAGTTTTTTGAGCACATATTAAAACTATATAAATCATCATTTATGACACCATAACAATCATGCCACCATTAAATAAATTATAAAGTGGTGTCATTATGTCATTTTAAAACCATATCTAACTATACAAACCAAAAATTTACATATGTCATGGTTATATTCACCATGAAAGCCACCCCCCCTGCTCAAAGGGATAATATCCTCTCTCTTTTCTATTCTGGCCTCTCTGCTTGTCAAATTTCCTCTAGAACTGGAGTATCCAAGTCCACTGTGGCCAAGTTCATCAAAGAAAGTCACACAGACAAGGAAAACTTCTGTGAAGGGCGTCCATCCAAGCTCACCTCTACTGATAGGAGGGCTATTATTCAATATATCACTACAGGAAAGGCTGATAATGCTGTCCAGGTCACCTATTACATCAATTCCACCATCACATTCCTTGTCTCTTCACACACTGTGAGAAACATTCTCAAGACAGCTCATCTCAGGTCAGTAACAAGGAAGAAAAGGCTTTCCTCTCTATCACACATATGCAGAGAGGACTAGCACCCTTCTTTTTTCACATATATACCTTGCCATCTGACCCAATCCTATTTATTGTGGTCTTATATGATCATATAACATGCTTCCAGTCCATGTAATCCAATTCTGATGGGCTAAGGCAAAGGTTAGTCATCTCTGTTTATGTGTGATAGAGAGGAGAGCCTTTTCTTCCTTGTTACTGACCTGAGATGAGCTGTCTTGAGAATGTTTCTCACAGTGTGTGAAGAGACAAGGAATGTGATGGTGGAATTGATGTAATAGGTGACCTGGACAGCATTATCAGCCTTTCCTGTAGTGATATATTGAATAATAGCCCTCCTATCAGTAGAGGTGAGCTTGGATGGACGCCCTTCACAGAAGTTTTCCTTGTCTGTGTGACTTTCTTTGATGAACTTGGCCACAGTGGACTTGGATACTCCAGTTCTAGAGGAAATTTGACAAGCAGAGAGGCCAGAATAGAAAAGAGAGAGGATATTATCCCTTTGAGCAGGGGGGGTGGCTTTCATGGTGAATATAACCATGACATATGTAAATTTTTGGTTTGTATAGTTAGATATGGTTTTAAAATGACATAATGACACCACTTTATAATTTATTTAATGGTGGCATGATTGTTATGGTGTCATAAATGATGATTTATATAGTTTTAATATGTGCTCAAAAAACTGTCCGCATGAGTCATGATTTTGTAAGCCTTGTATCTCCACCATATCTCCACCGATTCCCACGGTGTAGGGCTCAATCCAAAGCCCTGAAGCCATACTACAATGTGGTATAAGCATGTCCTTGAGCCATTTGTTTGTTCTCACACAATATCATAGATAGTGAAAAATGTCAAAACATGCGGACAGTTTTTTGAGCCACTGTATGTGTATGCTATGTGTTTGTTATGAATTCAATACATGTGTGCTATGAGTTCATTATGAATTTGATACCTGTGTGCTATGAGTTCACTATGTTTGTTATGTTCAAGTTCACTGGTGCGCTTCACATTTGGTTTGCGAGGTTGTTCGTTTCAATTCAAATGTGTATGAAGGTACAAACTATGGACAAAAACTATCTACTTTCACCTCAAAGAATTTGACCTGCAAAGTGATGGAGACCAGTAAATCATGTAGTAGCATAGTGTCATACTTGAGCTACTCCCTGCAACACAGACAGTTAGTGTACACGAGATCCTGGATGCTATCCAGAAGCATCCTCCCTTCCAAAGCATGTTTTGTGCAGTCATCAAGGAACCTTGTGGTCTCTTGTTCCCCATTAGCCTGTGCATGCGCAAGTACCTCTTCATATGTGACATTCCACATGTCCTCTGATTCCCAATCTTTCTCCCAGTGTCCTACCATTGTCTGGATTGTTTGCAGTGTTGGAGTGTTGCAGGAACAAGGAATATTATTATCCATTGTGAGGATAGAATCATCGGCTTTGGGAGTTGAGTGGCAAGAACTAGTAGGGCTGTGAGGTGTGGCTACACTTGTAACTGGTGTGATTGGATCTAAGTCAGCATGAAACGTATTGGTTTTTTTGCTGTCATCATCGTGGTTAGCGAGTGTGAGGTGTAGGAGTAACATGAATGCTATCTCACATTTGCCACTTGCTACAACAAGGTAATGTAAGTGCCCATGGTAAAATTAAGAGTGGGGGCAGTCGTGTACTTACTGAGCCATTCAAATATGTGCCTTTGCATTTTGGGCAGCTCAAACACTGTGGTGGCAGGTGAACAAGACCCTGGAGTACTAATAACACCCATGTTGAACTCACCCTGGCTTAGCAAACCAATGCTCAGTAGCTCTATGCTGGCTTAGCCTCTGATTGCTGCAATGACTCTTGGAATAAAACTCTGTAAGATATGCAAAAATGCAAAAATTGAAGCTTACCATCATAGCTCAGTGTACAAGGTGAAAGTGTGGAAATCACCTGAGACTTTGAGTTAATCCATAATTCATCTTAAGGATCTGGAAGGATAGTGACAGTGGCAGAAGAAAGATTATGCAATTGCAGAGTACATAGTAGCAAACACTCACCTTGCGGTTGCCCAGCGCTGATGCAACTTGCGCCAAGCAGCAGTAACTTCTATTCACTGCCCTAACTCATATCACACAGGTTTGACTCTAGCCTGGCCCTAATGCCTGCATGATTTCCTCCACCTGGCACTTATACTACTGGTCCAGGCTCAGGCATTCCTATCAAATTCCATATGGTGAGCACCATATACTAGTGTTTACGGGACTTCTACTACTAGTACTGCTCCCCCAAGTTCACAATATGACCTAAAGGTTTTCATTTGTCTAATGGTAGTAATTGATCATTGTAACACTGCATTGACACCTTTTTTTCTTCTAGATTTTTGATTGCAATGACACACATCATTTTTCATTGTCATGAATCACACATCCAATAACTGTATTTTTGGTCTTTGCAAATTCACTAGTTGCATCCACACCAGCACTTCATCAGACTTTGCTTTTTGCTCACAACCAACTATGAGCTATGTTTTTCCTGATGATGACTTCAACTCCAGCATGAATCACCTCAATAGCAGCGGGCCTGCATATTTCATGGGTATGTTCAATGAAAACAATGGTATGGTACTATCTACATGCATTTTCCCAAGCTGATGTTGTTTTAAAGCTGCAGGAACTATCAAAATTCCAACAACTGACCCTCAGACTGATTGCAACCCTGATGCACTTGGTGGAAGTGCACACTCATTTGATGATATTGATTGGGAGGACCTGTCTCTTTATGTGATGCCATTGTCAAAGGACAAATTGGAGGCCATCAATATGGGGACCACGACCCTCGAAGACCTGTCACCTGATGCAGATGAATCTGCAATTCTATCTTGCACACCATCACCTGAAGGAAACTTAAGGTCAGTGCCTCTTCATGATGCAAATTCATCTACCTGGGCAGCACGTAATCTGACCCATCCCATGATCCATCCGCAGACCCCACCCCACCAGCTATCAGATGCTCAAAAGGCATCTCAAAAGATCAAGAGGGACCAAAAGATGAAGGCATCAAAGGACTTACACGACACTCTTACCATACACCTGGACATGCAGAAAATGAAAATTGATTCCCTTGCACATGCTCACAACATCACTCCCAAGTATATCAACAACTTGATTGGCAATCACACAAAGTTTCACACATCACACAAGGTCCAGTTGACTAATGCCCTCGTCCATGCCAAGGCCAAGGAGATGAACTCCAGTAAGTTGAATTATCACTGTCATAAGACTTACAGTCTGATCTGTTGTGATCAGAACAACTTGCCAGCTCTCAATACACCTTAGTCGAGCTATGCATGATGGTCAACGATGACTCTCAGATGAAAAAGCTGACAAAGGATGAAAAGGCTAGTTATGTATATCACAGCTCTTGAGGAGCATTGCAAGCAGAAGGTAGCTAGTGTGCAAGGAAACAATATTACCATTGCAAGAGATGTTTTATTTACAATGGAAAGGATTGTTAAAGAGGTATGCTCATGCACATCAAATGTATTCAATTGACCTCAATTAAATCTTTTTGCATCTCCAAAGCTCAACAACTTATGTGTTCGCACTGGGACCTACATGACTTTATTTGTTGTTCACAGACATGTCAATGACACCATTCAAAGCTCGATGCATGGGACTAATAATTCAGAAGACTTCTGGGAGGATGTGTATGACCTTCCAATAGCCAACTATCTTCAACAGTATGAACAGTGTGTGCATTAGCGATACTAACATGAAGCAACAACTCAGTTATGTTGGGGAACAAAAACTGGATTCACAAGTACCTAATGCAAAGCAACAACTAGTGTATGTCAGTGTGAGTCTGTATGAATGAATGTACTACATACCTCAGTTATGTTGGGGAACAAAACTGAGGTGTCAACAGAGTCAAGATGATGATGTAAGTAGTGGCAAGAAATGCTTAGGTAATGACACCAGAGGATTAACATGTGGATGTGCCATAAGGTGCAAGAAGCTAAGAAGGTGTCGGACAGTGTGGTACCGAAGGTGAACAAGATACAAGATAACATGAAAAAGGTAATATGATGTCAATACAGTGGGTGTGTACACAAAATCAAAGTAAGTTCATCTGTCGCCCACTTGTATTCTTTTGATATTAATAACAAGTATCCTGCAGATATAAATGAACATGATTCATTAGAAATCGTGTGCAAGCAAGTTTGAAAACTGATTATCTGTGGACTGAGTATGTAGCAATGTCAGCAACATAAATTCATGTGTTTAACCCTTTTCACAGTTTTGGTGACCAGCAAGAAAGATATTGCTATGAACTACAAGAACTACAAGACTGCCGTCAGTGAAACCTATGCTGTCCAGCTGATAGGATGGCCCTCCAGCATTGACTTCATCAGTCCTTCAAATATCAGGATTATTGATGAGATTCGCAAGCTTTGTGATGCTCTCAAGGCTCGAACATGCTACTGGGCTCTGCTTACACCAGCCAAAATCAAAGCTCACACAGCAGAACTGGACACGCACCATTCTGCAGGTGAAGTGGTTCAGCAGCCACACAAAAAGTGTTCCAATGCTGGCCTCTCTCGCAAGCGCAAGCCTTTGCCATCTGCAAAAAAATACAATGGCAGACCCCCCAAGAAGGCAAAAAGGAACTCCACAGGCCATTATGATGGTCCCAAAAGCGCAGAATTTGTTGAGTCATCTGACGAGGAAGAGGCTGAGGACTCGTAGTGTACTCTGCTACCTTTGTTTATATGTTGTACAATTTACTATGTTAGGCTGACAGTATGTTTGTATGTCACTGGAATATACCCCAAGTACCCTTAGTAGTCCATATATATTTCAAAATGCGCCTTCGAAATGACTATGTTAACATGACCTATGCAAGCTCGTTGTGTGAGACAGCGTCCACAAAGGTTCAGGTGGCGGGCGGACTTAGCCGAACATCATTAATATTAACTACGTCAGCATTGAGTCTATGCTTATTTATTCTACTATACAACATCATTCAAGGTAAAGCTTTATTGCATAGATATTGAAGGAGGCTTGCAGGGGCTGAATTTGCATCATTTTAGAGGTGCTAACCTTATCTATTAGCACTGCTAACTACAGGTATTACGTGGGAATCACAGGTGATTTCTACTGCGCTATTAATGTCATCTAGCTGCATTCTCACATGTTGCTGTGGAGGGATAGGTAGGTTTGATAGGAAGGATATAAAAAGAACATGCTGTACAACACACAGCCATAAAGAATGTGAGATATAAAAGAAGTTACGGATAGGCATGCCCATCAATCAGGATATCATTCCTCTTCCTTGCTAGCATTCTGGTGATGTGAATATGCTACCTGAGGATCCTGTGTCGATGAACTGACGATTGGTCTAGGCAGGGAAAGTGCAGCGGCTCTTGAGACTTGGTAATGGCAGTCCTAGAGCATACAAGGACAGTGGGCTCACCGAACATATCCACACAATCAACATACTTGCCAACGTGTCTGGCAGATACAACTACCATGGCTTCTAGCTCGAAACGGCCCAGTGTGGCAGCAAACAAATCGGTTCTGACACCAGTGATGACCTTGGAGGGGCATGAACCATACATTTACACCTTGCCGAATGGTAATCGTCACGAGCTCAGAAGTGTTTTATGCATTGCCTATCTTCCCAACAGCAAGCAAATGATCAGCAGATCATACGATAAGACCATTCGGCAATGGGACCTGCGGGAGGGTAAGGAGATAAAGGAGGCTTGGGAGGTTTGTGAGGAACATATAAATATCATCACAAAAATTGCTCAGGTGTGACATTGCCTGATATAGATGGGAGGGTGGCTGAATGTATGACTAAACTAATCCGTGTGATGTCATCAACACCTCGACGCGACATTGGAACACAGGCGCGTATATCAGAATGACGTCTATCCCCTCACCATACTATCACCAAGACAATAAGTAGATACCTCTTGTATCTAGATTACATATTCCAGACACTAGTATATACAAATGATGTCAAGTAGATACTTAGTCCATTTTTTTTGTGCAAGACAAAAAGACACTGAAAATTTAATGAATTGCGCTGCGCAATCATGATCGATCAAACGAGAACATCAAATGAGAACTTCATTAAACTACAATACATCAAAGTGCCCCATAACCTTCCTCTGCAAGTACATCCTCATCCAGCTCCTCTCCTTCATCCACTATGACTCTATCCTCATCATCATCTTCTTCTTCATCACTCTCGTCAACATCATCCAAGTCATCCTCAATATCTTCCCATTCCTCTTCCTCTTCAGCTGCGTCAGTCGCATCATCACCTTCTTCGGCTTCCGCTTCTTCAGCTCCATGTTGCTCAAGTTGGAGAATGTCGTCCCAGTCTCTGGTAGCTTTGTGGCCAATTCCGCCACCACGGAACCACATGAATATATCTCGATCAACAAATCTATATGTTATGTAGATACTATGTCAGTCTATGTAGCAAGAATAAATTAAATTAAATGCACACATATTAACATAGTGAAATTGGCATTCAGACTCAAGATCTTGAGGATCTGTGCGATGGTGAAAGCTTGGAATTAAATGAATCCTGCAAATGACAGAGTCTGGATCCAAAAATCTGTATGCGTCAGGGCTGTCTTGATCGAAAAATTTGAGGCGCTGGAGTCGTTTTGCAGTCCAACCTGCAGGTGAACTATCCCTTCTGAACCATCGGATGAACAGGAAGTCCATCCAAATTGGTTCAGAATACATCCTCATGTTGTCCTCACGGTATTCCACATTGATATGAAAGATGCCGATGACATGGGCATACCAGTATGGGTGAGTCTTCTCGTCTTCATGGGAGAGTACCATTATGTTGGCACAAGTGCAGGGATTGATGGTGTCCTGTTCGCATTGTAGATTGTATGTTGTATAGTTGATGCATAAAATGCTGTGGTGGTATATTTTGTTGTCAGTAAACAGCACTGAGGTATGATCAGTGTCGGAGAAGTCATGCTCATCTCCGTCATATGTGATATTGCGAAGCCGAGCAAGAACATGGTCCTTGAGTCACAGAATGAACTCCTGATAAAATTAATGAAAGCATGAAAATGAAAATCTAATAAAAACTTACCTCAATAGCCAGATCGGACAAGTCTCCAACCTCTCTGCGCTCAATTAACCAGGAGGTGATGTCATTGTTTGCCTGAGCATATTTGGCAATGGAGTAGTGATCAGATGGAGACAATTGCGTGCGCCGTGGTCTCGGATTCCACTGTGCTGCAAGTGCAGCGATCACCTTCTCAATGAGGTGTTCTTGCACTTCTTGAGAAGTCATGCTGGTGAGAGTTTGATCCTTCTTCTTTCCTGTTTGAGGGTACCGACACTTCGATTGATGATGCTCGAGTTCTCCCTGTCAGATATTAGTTATTAAATGAATGATATCATGAAAAGAACACTTACTGGTTGTGTGGAATAACTATCAGTAGTACCAACACGCCAGATAGTATTAGGGTAGTCGGCAAGTGCATGATATTTGTAAGTATAAAGATTTAATGTCTTTACCTTTGGGTTTGATGTAGCCTTGCCAATCTGCAACGTGTTTGCTGATCCCACTTGTTTTGAGGCTAATGCAGACAGACGGCGTCCACGAGCGGCATATTCGTGGGGAAGTTCTGTAGTGTGATAATATGCACAAGTGGTGCGCTGAAACTTGCGAACCGATTGACCGAGGATGACTGTCACTGAGTCAAAAAATGCAAGAGTGTCATCTGTATGTATGCGGAGTTTTGCATAAGCATGCCAGGTAGCCAGGTCAAAGAGGAGGTCGAGAATGATTGTATTATGATCGGGGGGAAGAAGTCCTTTGAATACAGGTATAGCACACTAGAAATGAAAGGCACATCAGTGCATCATTAAATTCTGATGGGATCAATCTTACCTGTAGTAGATCCTTGAAGTCGCGGGCTGCGAGATGCTTCATTGCAGAAGCATTCTTGTGGAACCATCTGATTGTTCCCCTACCAAAAGTAGGAACTTGACGGTACCTGTATGTAGTCATATAAGCGTTGTAATATTGCAAAAAGCACTATAACATACCTGAAATTAAGCTCTTGAACTGCTGAACCACCTGCAGCAAATAGAATGCGCATTAAGTGTGTGAAAATTGCTTTCCACACACTGAGCTTGAACTCATGAAGTAAGTCTACTATGAACATCAAGAAAAAATTGAACATATATTTGAGAAACCATGTTGAAAATGTGTTCTGAAATGAAGTGATCAGATATAAATCTAAGATTGATGCGCAGATTATTTACCCGAGTTGGAACTAGTGACTCGCCTTGCAGGATCTTCTTGATCCATTGTCCATTGATGCCAACACTGTGCTGAAACATAAGCCTGCAGGCTTTTTCAACTTTGCGATGACGTCATTCATCATCAACATGCTGCATTGCCTGGCAGTTCTCCAGATCAATCTTCATGCCCATCTTGGGGACATCTTCTTTCTTGATCAGGCAGCGGGGGCAAGGGCATTCACCAAGGAACTTGATGCAAGCCAGCAGAATCCTGTATTAATAAATATCAAATGAGAAATGATCATTAAAATTAAGATTAAAACACGTGCTTTTCTGGATAGTCTGCTGAGTAAGTAAAGAAGCGGGGAAAACGCGTCGAGTGATCCCATCCCCACATTGAATGATGATGCCATTTTTGTAGGCATCCATAAATTTTTCATCCAGTAGAAGTGCCCATATGGCTTGCATAAGTTCGCGTTTACAGTGAGTATAGACGTCACTGGATGATGCCTCATCAAAAAGACAGCCATAACGGTCTTGGAAGTCATCAGGAAGCTTAATAGATCAAAATTAGCATAATCAAATTAATAGAACGCAAATGAAATGGAACATACATTTGGAATATATGCAACATGATGGCATGCAGATGCTGTTGGCTTGCCTCATGTGTACTTGGACTGATTGCCAAAGCACAGATAGAAGGGCCAGAGCAATGCATCACCGAAACTTGCCAGGTGAGTGCTGTCAGACCACATCATTAGTGAGGCGACGACTCGCTCAAGGTTATCACCTGGATCTTGGGGAAGCGCATTAATTTCCATGTGGGCTTCTAGAAAGGCTGGCGAGGAATATGCCTCGCTATAGACTTTGATGGTGCGATCATCAGAAGTCTTCCATTGCTGATGGAAGGGCGTTAGATGAAAGGTGGACATAATAGTGTCCTCAAAGACGGATGTAATGATGTCAGTGAGAGAGCGGTGATGAATGCCAGTAATCTCCAACTCTGGTGCATCTTCTTCTGATGCGAACTTAACCTTTTCTTTGTGGAGGTGGATTTTTACTGAAGAGCTGCACCAGCCATTTTCCACATGAAACGGATTGGATTGGTCCTTGAGGTACTCCTTCATGAGCCTTTTCTCCCGCACATCGTCGAAAATCCGCATGTCTTCTCTGTTGTATTGATTGTGATCGAGAAACTCCCTAGTGAGGCATTTCATTTCAGCGCTCAACTTTGAGTTTGCGCTGGAATATTGCCAACACATCAGAAGCCCTGCGGTTGGGCTGCTAAATGGGGAGAATATATCCTCCAGTCGGATTTCTTGGGAGGGAAGCCCAGGAACGATCTGAGATTGCAACAATTGAGAATTGCCCTGAGTTTCGAAGGTTGGGGCATCAGCGATTGCATCCAGGCCTTCATTTGCGGTGGGTATGAGGGTGGGTTTTTGTGCATAGATGCGGAAAAGACCCAGTGAATCCAGGGGAGTCTGGTAAGGGATGAGTATGGGCTGGTGGTTGAGGAGTTCATTGATGAGTTGGTTGGGAGGACTATCTGGAGGAGGAGGAGGTAAATGTGGGAGATTGGTGGGTCCAGCTGGCAGATAGTCTGCATAACGAGTGGGCATGCAGATTCGTTGGCCAGAACGAGCAGAAATGATGGTGGGATCGTCAGGGATTGGTGGGATTGGTGCGCTGGCGTCAGTAGAAGCTCCAGCAGTATTTTCATCCCATTAGTTGTAAAATTAGACATATCGATCATTTCAATAAAAAATGACTTACCTCATGCATGTGATCATGATCAACCCAATGATCATTGTTGATATCCATCCGGTCTTCAGGACTTATTCGACGAGCATTGCAGCTCGTTTCTCCGCCTTCTGGTGAGGAAGATGTGTCGGGAGCCATGACACGTCTTCTTTTCTTCTTCTGGCGCATTTGCTTCTCCAGACAGCACTGCTGTTTATAGACGTCAGCATCAAGACTCTTACTGGCATCACACCGAGCCTCATGATTGCTCAGGCCTTTCTGAGTGGTGAAAGCCTTTGAACACCCGAGGCAGGTGAGGCCGTCCATGGGATGCACACTCAGATCCAACATGAATACAAACTTTAGATTATATATTGCATCATACTTAATAACAAATTCAAGGACTTAGCGGTTATAGGTAGTAGTGACCCTATTTCCCGCAACTCTTCTCTAAATCAACACAACTCCTTGCCTAAGTCCTTGCCTGCACCATTGCGCGTGGCCCTGCTATCAGCACCTGGATGGTATGTTAACATCCTCAAGCAATTATAGACGCACCTATACCAGTCTGGATGAAGCCATCAGTGCTTCTGATGAAGCAATCAGTGCTTCTGGTGCAATATAGAGTGGTTGGCAGTGCATGATTATTATGATCATGGACTTGGATATGAAGAAGAGATAACTTCAACTTAGAGGTTGGGCGGATACAAGGTGGTCACGTGATTTCGGAGATTGAAATTTGCCTTTGTTGATCAGATTCTGATCACACACTTCTACTGATATCACTGCATCACATCTTAAGCATGCCGCACAAACGTCATTCCAGATCCCCCTCAGCTTCAGAGAGCAACACCAGCAGCGACTCTTCAATTTCCTCGATGGAGTGCATAGAACCTCGCCCTAAGAAGTTGTCTAAAAGACGCGGGCGCAAACCTGATAAAGACGATCAAAAGGTCAAGTAAGTCCAATATTCAAATTCATTTGCACCAAGAACCCTAATATAATCTATGACCAGGAAAACCAAGATCTCAAAAGAGAAGGAGGACTCAGAATTCGAAGTCCAAGAAGAGTTTCTTGCGGCAGCACGTGCCATGGCACGTTGTGTCGATTTATTCTGCAACGTTGAGAAACTCTTAAGGGTAGGTCTACTCCTACAGCAAGAGCAGGCCACGGAGAATGGAGAATTAGAAGAGTCAGAGGCCAAGCGTGAATCCCATCAGAAAAGGCTTGTGAGTCTGTAAGTCCATTTTTTAATTTTGCAAAGTCTATACTAAGATTTTTTTCTTAGTTCAACCAATACCCTCGATCGGTACAAGTGCAACTATCAGCAGTTGCTTCAACTGGCTCCGGGACTCCAATCACTTATTACTGATCGCCCAAAGTCCAAGGATCTCACTCAGATCGCACGCAAGGTGAGTATATGCTGTTTATATGTGCATATATCGTGTACTAACATACTAATTAGATGAATGCTGTCATTAGTGGGACACGTTCCGACGATGCAACTCATTTGAAGGTCCAAATCGGACACTACGTGGCGCCTGAACCTTTGAAGGAAGGTCTGAAGCCTACCATCTACAATGGGGGCTCACTGTCCAGGGCGCACATGGGCATCAACCACCCTGTGCTTGCTTCTTTCCTATGTCCTATTTCTGCACTTGCAGATTTCAAACGAGATCCCATTCTGTAAGTACTCGATTTGTCATTTCCGATCATCTAATGTTCTCTAACATAGGGCCCGGAAATGGATGGAGATCAGAGGGATTCGTATGACCACGATCGACTTTCCGGTGTTCCTGTGGGCCGGAAAGCCTCCTGGAAGTAGGTATGACAAGGACATCATGAATGAGGGCCTATTCCAGGGTTATTTCCTCAAGCGTGTAAGTTTTGAAATTCATTATATGCGTCTATCTTATTAACATTTTGATTTACCAGATAATGCGTCATATTTTTACAGGTCCTTCCACTGCTTTAGGTGATGACTCGTGCGCTACGTGATCGTGCAATGCATCCCTGCACGATATGTCTACTGTCGAGGCAGAACATATAGCATATGCTTGTGTTCAGGTAAGTTTTTGTTTATTTAATGGATTATATCTAACTAATTGTTTTAACATAGGCACGCTTTGCAATCAGTAATAAAAACAAATGGGCCGAAGCCGATGGTGAATTCAATTACCGGGCCTTTTACTACAACATTATTGACTTTATTCGTGAGTGTGAGGATCGAGATTGGGCACAGGGACTTCTTAAATGGTGGAACAAGTAAGTTTTTCTCTGTTCCATTAATTTAGCTAACTATCTACTTCTATCAAGGGCATTATTCAAGAACGATAATGGACATGAGGGCGGAACAGCCATAACCGATGACAACGTGTCCGGGTTGTCTTCAGGTCCAGTCAACAGTCTTGCCAAGATGCGAGCGCAAACAGCCAACCGCGCTAATGCTGCCAGACGACCTGTAACACCAGATCCTAACCCGATCCCAACTCCACCTCAAAGTTCTGCCACTCCCGGACCCATTCTCACTCCTGGATGTGTTCCCACACCCACTCCTGTGCCCACTCCCGGACCCATACCCTTGCAGAAGGCCCCTGTCCTGCCAAAGTTGCCTGCAGGCAGTGAACTGACACTGAACGATGACCTGTCAAACAACAACGACTTGGATGATGTCAGTGCCATCAAAAAGGGGAAGAAGAAAATGCCAAATGGCCAGGCCTGGGGTAGGACTATGCACCACATTATACAGGAATCCGACGATGAGGATGAGGAACTGGCCAAGCCAACCAAAGGTCGACCCCGGGCCAAACGTGTGTCGCACTGCAGGAAGTAAAAGTCAGTATGTGCTCATTTTGTCTTATGCTTATGATGTCACTCATATGTTCCATGATCGATTTTTCATTTCCGGTCTAGGAGCTTCCTTCGGATCATGGAAGAAGACTCTTACTATCATTCTGGACTCGATTGTGTCTATCAAATCAGACTTTGCCTCATCATTGCATCATTGGCCATTATTCTTGCACTGGGACTTTCGCTGTCATGCTTCTGTTGTTTCTGATATTGCTTTCCATATTCTCTCAGTCATTCTCTCGTTCAGACATGTCCTGCTAGTATACCAGTTTCCTTACATTGCATTCCTTTAGAATAACCTGTATTCTCTTAATGATACTCAATATCAGGCTTTATCTTGCTATCTCTGTGTGATTTACAATGTCTGAATTATCAAATTGAGATATCAATCTATTTACCCTGAATACGTTGTACTCGGCCCGTCCATTGGACTTTTCAGGTTCCAAGTCTGCTCAGACGTACTTAACCTTAACCCTGACATTGCTGACAGCGCAGACATACCTATATATGGCAATGTCACGCTTATGCAATTTTTGTGATGATAGTGAGGGTATCAAGGGATGGTCGATGGGTTGTCACTGTAGTTGGTGGGGTGCTCAAAGTCTGTGAGGTTGAGACGGGGATCGTGAGAATATTTCAGGTTGACCTTTGGATCGGGTGCATTGATATCTCTGCGGACAGTACGCTGCTAGCGGGTGAGTCATACGACGAGACAGCGCGGATATGGAGGTTGGACACAGGCAAACTCGTGGCTGTGACTGGTTCATTCAAATGGAGTGATGTTGTGGGCGCACTTCGATTCTCGGAAGACTCGAGGAAACTGGCAGTGATGTCAAATTGGGGCGAGTGCCTTCAGGTGTGGGATGTCCAAGCACAGAAATTGGATGCCACTAGAGAAAAATCTAGAGCTCCTGGTTATTATTGGCCAACTCCACCGTTATTTTGGACAACCAAAGACAAATCGATTGTAACCGCACCCAGCTTCATGAATGACTCCCCCAATATGTGGCCCGTGACAGTCTACGAGTTCGACGCGTCGACGCTCGAGACTATCGGAGATTCCTTCCAAGGGCACACCAGCATCATCTCGGATCTAGCACTCTCATCCGATTGTGTTCTTCTTGCCAGTGCTTCCGACGACAATACCATCAAGCTCTGGTCCTTTGAATCCCGCCAGCTCCTCACCTCGTTCAACGTCCAAGCTCCCCGTTCCCTTTTACTCTCACCCGACTCATGCCAACTGGCTTACACGACATATGATGAGCCTAATATCTACATATGCGACATTCCAGTCAACATCCTCGCTAGCATCGGACTTGCAAAAGAGGTATGTATTCACCCATTCATCGACATCATTCAGGCGCTAGAATCTCTTGCAGACAAGCGGTCCTGAATCCTCACACCTAGCTAAGCTGCTCAACGTACGTGATCCCGCTCTTTTATTCATCCACACCACTCCATTCTCTATCACAGCCTGACGCAACACGCCAAAATGTGCGTCGTAAACCACCAATATCGGTCATATCTTCCGCCCCCCGCCCGCTAACAGTTACAATTGACCACCCACAACCCGTTTTTCTCGGCTTTCTACGCAAACTCCTCTCTTCTTCTCATACGGATCCAGTTCGTCCCACCTGCACCAATGAGTCTCGTAATCCCTTGGACGTATGTCTCTTCCGTCTGTTGTCTTCACAGTTAGCTCAATGGTCCCCTTGCAGTTCCCTGCTACTGCGCCTTTGCCTCATCCACTCATAAATCCACACGAGAACGTGAGTAGAGACTGCCATCATCACACATTCGGCTGACATTTTGTTAGTTTCGACCACCGACCACCCAATCCTCTGCCCCTGCTTCTACATCCTTCAAATCCCGCCTACACAGTCTGTCAACCTGGTGGCCCCTTCAGACAGATCATGCATCGCGAGCTATCAGCGACGTTCCACTTGCGCAGGGTAAAGAAGTACGTGCAGCCTATTTTTCCCACTTTCCAGTACTCACACGTTAATTTACAGCGGAACGCTGCAGCAGATGCTCCACGCAAAGACGATCAGTGCATACCTGATGAAGATCGTGTTTCTCCTCCTCCTTCACCTAATCCAGATTCTCGACAGCCGACCACAGCAGGGCAGGTCAAGACCAATACCGGAGAGCATGGAAGCAGCCGGTTGTGTTTCTGCTTTTAAATTGACTTTTTGAATGGTACTATGACTAGTCCATTGTGAACACCTTGCTAATTAGAATTTATTTGTATGCATAGTGTATTTTACAGAACGTAAGGTACTTTGTTTGCTGATGGTTTAGTTTGCGGACGGTGATCACTCCTGAGAGTGCAAACGACTCAGATGCTTCCTCTTGAACTTCGAAGTGCTTGGCGCTAACTATTGGCATCAGTACTTTTTGGCCCGTAACTTACTCCAGGTACAAAAGGCTGGCTGGCGCCTCCATAGAGATTCGTTCGACGAGCTGGAAAGGGATTTGGACATGCTGTGCAATGCAGTCTTGAGGAAGGGCATCAAAATAAAAGGCGGTAGGACGCTCCCATACTCAGGTGAATCATGATCGCCCTTCATCTTTGCTAGCATTTCTCAGGGTAACTCGAACGCCACAACTGAGTATTCTGCACTGACGAACTGATGATATTGCAGCTAACTTACCTTGTAAGTAGAGCACATCATCTCTCGAACGAGCTTGACTTGAATCTTGCTCGATATCCATTCACTTGAATGTATCGCACAGCCAACTGAGACCAGGATCTGTTTCAACTGGTACCCATCTTCAAAGCAAAGCAGGCCCTCTCGGCCTTCCCAGCACATGATGGTGATCTCACCTCTGCCTCAGCACGGGCATCTTTAGGTGCCTATTCAGATTGTGCCATCGCCTCAACCTCAACCTCAGCATGCGCCGAATCAAGATCAGCCACCTGTTCAAGCTGTGCCGACTTTTGGCGGGGAGGGGCAGAGTGATTATCTTCCTGGGCTTAAACTTATCAATGAGATGGGGGAAGACGCAGCTCCTGATCCGCCTTCTCCTATTAACACTGAGGAAGCTGGTCCACCCCCGTTGGTCGAAGCGCATGAAGAGGGGGACGAGGACGAGGATAAGGATGAGGGGGACGAGATTGATGGAGGGAATCTCGTAGTGGACGAAGATGTAGATGATTCTGAGATGGAGGACGTGGAGGATGAGGGGGATGACGATTTTCAGTTCGGTGGTGATGATAAGCGCTTTTCGATGTGATGTGATATTTTGTTCTTTTGATGCAGGTTTTATGCAGGTTATCGTGAATGATTGGTTCCTTCCTATTAACTCGAGTACGATGCATTACATACATATTTGAACTTATCTATCAATGTGTTTTCACAGGATGTAAGGTAGTACATATAATTTAGTGAATGATATCATCTGTGATGGATTTGATGAAGCCATGATCTACCCTCGAGGTGCTCAACCTGCAATTAACCAGGAATGCGCGAATTGAGGCGATTCGAATCAAGTGTCTGAAGATGGCAACAAGATAGAATGATCAGGTTTCTACCGCACTATGAATATTAATGACATGATCTAGTAGGCATGTTGCTGTGGAGGGACAGGTAGGTTTGATAGGATGGATAAAAAAAAAAAGAACATGCTGTATAACACAGCCATGAAGAATGGGCAATATAAAAGAGGCTACGGTAGTAGGTGCGGCCATCAATCAGGATATCGTTCCTCCTCCTTGCTAGTATTCTAGTAACGTGAATACCCTACCTGAGGATCCTGCGCTGATGAACTGACGATTGGTCTAGGCAGGGAAAGTGCAGCGGCTCTCGAGACTTGGTAACGGCAGTCCTAGAGCATACAAGGACGGCAGACTCACCGAACATATCCATATAATCGACATACTTGCCAACGTGTCTGGCAGATACAACTACCATGGCTTCTAGCTCGAAACGGCCCAGTGTGGCAACAAACAAATCGGTTCTGACACCGGTGATGCCTTGGAGGGACATGAACCATATAT